TATATCAAGTAATTTTGTTCAGATAACACTGAAATCTCAACTTCAGAATGCTCATAGTTTCCTTGTATATTTGCATCTTGAAGAACATTTCAGAATATTCAGTTCATTTCTAAAGCTCTATCAAACATTTTTCAGAACTGGAACTATGAATGATCAAAATTGCCAGTATGATCAACTGTATGGAGGATACGCAAGCGCTGCACAAGGGACACGGGTTCTATCCACAACGGGTTCTACGGAAATCACAACGTTAACACCATTTGCTGCTCCACAACCCACTACTGATTACGCAGTAGGCTACGATCTATACAGGTAGAATCTTCACTTACGCTCGTGATTAAAATTGTTTACGTTAAACCAGACTTTGTTCGAGGGAGTTAGTGAAATTTTAAGCAAATGGAGAATTTCGATTGTTTATGCTAATCCAGACGAACTATTGACGTTTGCGGGTTTCTTCAGGGAGAAAATGGAGCTTGAGCATTTCTAAAGGGAGCTTTAAGAATTTATTAGAGTCCATGATGTCTAAAAACTAGCGCTTATTTGATAAGTAATTTTTGCATAAAATTAGATCTTGTAAACTGCCAGAAGTTGGTAAAAAATCTAGATAGTTGAAGATGCAGATAGTGCAATTAATAACATCTCCGTAACGAAAAGTACACAATGATGGCTGGATTAACAGAATATAACTGTGTGGAGCTTTCTGAAGAGGCAAAAGGCATGTTTCAATAAAAATCTATAAACTTTGTAATGAATGAGACATCTGCATAAGCAGAATTTCACAAGGTCTTCTCGTCCTTACATGCTTTTAGGATGAGTTAGGGGAGAAGTCAATTTGATTGATGAATGACTAATCAGAAACAAGATCTAGGAAAAAATAGCGAAAAATGTTTTAAAAAAACTTGAAACAACGGTTGAGTAACATATTATCCAATAATTGGTGGATTTCAAACAGTTTTTACAGTACTAGATCGACAAAAATCAAGAAACTTGAGAAGTTTTTCTGGTATAGGCATGAGCGAACTTTAAGCGATAAATTGCGCTGAATCCTTTGAAGCGCTGGAAGAAGGGTGCCGTCAGGAAATGTTGCACCAAATCGGTGCAGTATCATCTAAAAGCAATAAAACTATAATTTGAAGAAGTAGTCGGCGACCGACATGTGAGTGAACAGGCTCGGAATAAGCACCTGATTGGGTCGCTAGTGAGCGCCAAGGGGCTTCTCAACTGCTGCTGCTGCACCAGTTGCGCTACATGTGCCACCGCAGCTGACTTCGTCTAACGCCATTGAGACACCGACCCGTTAGCGACAAATGACCAACAAAATCATAA